CCGCATACAGACATAGCTCGCAGAGGAGTGGAAAGCTACGTACCGGCGTCTTGCGCGTCGTCGTCCACGACGATGACGCAGTCGGCCAGCGCGTCCACCGTGGGCTGGTGCGCGCGCAGGTCGGCGTGCAGCGCGCGCACGGCCGCCAGCTGCGCGCGCAGGCCGCGCGGCAGGCGCGACATGCGGTCCTCCGTGCGCGTCAGCCAGCGCCGGAAGGCGGCCAGCTGCGCCAGCTGCGCGCGCATGAGCGCCGCGTGGCCCGCCGCCTGCGTGGCCAGCGCGGCGCGGCGCAGCGCCTCCCAGCGCTGGCCCAGCAGGCGCAGCTGCAGCCGCACCTCGGCCGCCTCGTCGTGCGCCAGCCCCGCCTCGCGCAGCAGGCGCGCGCCCTCGTCCAGCACGCCGCCCACGCGCGCCTGCTGCGCCGCCAGCTCCAGCAGGAAGCGCTCGTGCGCGTGGAAGTGCGCCTTGAGCGGCGCCAGCTCGTCGCCGGCGGGCGCGGGCGCGGCGGCCAGGCGCTCCTCGGCCTCCAGCAGCCAGCCCAGCACGTCCTCGAAGGCGCCGTAGTACCCGCCGAGCTCGCCGGACCCCGTCGTGGCCGTGGACAGCGGCCGGCTGCCCGCCACCTGCGCCAGCGCCGCTCTACTGTAACGCTCGTGCCTCCCACGCTTACTTAATGCTAAGTTCAAACTACTACCTAGCAAGCAGTTCACTCACTTATCTTCTATAAGCGAAACGAATAAATTCACGTGTTAGGCATTTACTGGAGCCAAGTTCTTTACAATTAGAGTACACAGTAGTGAGAAAATAAATAAAATGTCCTACGAGGACACTACAATACTAATAAGTGAGTCAGTAGAGCACGCAACGTTTACCTCGGGAGGTTGCGTGGCGACGGGCGTGCCCGGCTCGGAGTGGATGCTGTCCAGGTCGGCCACGTCCTCGCTGGAGTGCGGCAGCGATTGGAACAGGCACATCACGTACATCATGATCGACTTCTTGTCGGGGTTCGGAGTGTTCACATCTGTAACAGACACATGCGTCACGCACTCTGCAGGCGGCCTGTGAGCAGACGGACTCGGAGACGCACCTTCAGGGTCGAGCAGGCGGTCGATGCCGAGGTGGTCGTGCGCCAGCTGGAAGGCGTGGTCCAGGCGCGCGCCCGCCGGCCGCGCCACCACGCTGGCGTAGTCGAACAGCTGCGGCCGCCAGCGGTGCAGCAGCGCGTTGAAAGCCAGCCCGTCCGACCACGACGTCGTGAAGTTCTTTACATTCACGCCCGCGTAGTTCTGCAAACCGACAACACGACTCGTTACTAGCTCCCGCGGCGTCAAGGCGGCCGGAGACGGCACTCACCTGTGTGTGTGTGCGACACCAGGCCAGCAGAGTCTTCTCCAGGTTGGTCTGCTGCAGCTCCGACATCAGCTCCTTGAGGTGGTAGTGCACCTGCCAGTGCAGGATGATGCTCCACACTAGCCCTGCGCAGAGAGAGAGCGGTCACAGCGCGGGCGACAGGGTGGCGCCGGGCGTTCGAGGCGGGGAGGAGACCACTCACCGAGCGTCAGCTTAGGGTTGGCGTCGACGATGTCGTTGCTGCTGATGTTGACGAGCTTGACTCCGTTGGAGTCCAGCACGTGCAGCGCCGTGTTGACGTTGTTGATGTGGTGCACGCGCATGCGCCCCCGCTCGCGTCTCTGCAACAAGCCCTCGTGAGCACGGTGCGGCGGGAGCGGCCGCCGACTGGCCCGACTAGACCGACACTTACATACTGCTGGGCCGTGAGGATCTCGAGCAGAGACAGCAGCACCTCCCCGTCCCGCAGGTCCAGGAACAAGTCCTCCACCAGCGGCTTGTCGTTCTGCGGAGTGATACACAAGCACACACTTTCGTCAAACTATACGTACGCTGTAAAGCTTCCAACAAATACTTACATGCAATAATAAATCTCATAAAAAATAGGTACCAATGTATCGCTTTTCAATAAATATGTAAAAAGAAAATCACTATCACGTACACCTTTTAGAATTGAACAAACAAATTGCCGGCTGCCGGCCGTTAATACGCCAACGGTGCTTTAACTATGATCATGTTATTGTCAAGTAAACACATACATACCTTCACTAGCTGAGAGTTTATCCATTTCGTAAATGTCTTTTTTTGTACGTCTTCTCGTTCGTCTGCAACAAACAATCATGTCACTCATACGATAGTATCGTTTTTTTTTTATAGCATAAGCCGGTAAACGAGCAGTCGGATCACCTGATGGTAAGCAATAACCGACGCCCGAAACACCAGAGGTGATTTTTTTTTTGAGGTCGGAAAATCATCCAATAACTTTTCTCACCCGGGTGAAGCGGCACCAGAGGTGTTACAAGGGCGGTACCGGCCTTTTGGGAATAGGGAATTTGAGGATTGTGGAGGATTCAGGGATTCGGGAGACGGGGATTAGGGAGGAGGGTAATTAGGCCTCCGGTAACCTCACTCACACGACGAAACACAACGCAAGCGTTGCTTCACGTCGGTTTTCTGTGAGGCCGTGGTATCACTCCGGTCGAGCCGGCCCATTCGTGCCGAAGCATGGCTCTCCCACACTTAAAAAATATATATCTAGACTCCCCTGTTCCAAATTTCATCCTAATCCTGTGACCCTTCAGCTGTTTCGACGTTGTTGAATAACAAACTTATACACAGACATACAAACTTTAGCATTTATAATACTATAGGAATATTTTAATGTTTAAAAAGGAAAAGATAGTGTTCAAAAAATATTTGTTTCCCTTAAAACAAGCCATTTGCTTGTTGTCAATCACAAAACAAAATAGAATCAACTCTGACATAAACCACTTTTTCTTTTAAAACTGTTGACGTACCATGAAACCTAGACTCAAACATATTTCTAACATGGAAACAGAAAATTCGATGTTTCATTGCAACAGCGAACAAATTCTGGAAGCGCCATAAGTCATGTTTAGCAATTTAACTTGAAATAGTTAAAACTTTGCGAACTGTAATTTTAAAACTAGGTCAGCCATATTGGTTCTGAATGATATTACCTACGTATTTCAGCATTAATTCCCTTTTTTCCAATTGCAGAGAAAATATCGTAAAGATCTAGTTGTTTTTTTTATTGTAAAAGCTGGAATTCGAGCAGACGGATCACCTGATGATAAGAAATTGGCGTCGCCCATGTCCATGGAACAAGTCCATGTCCATGGTCCAAAGGCGTTACAAGTGCGTTACTGACCTTTTGGGGATTAGGAGTTTGAGGATTGTTGGGGATTCATGGATGGGCCATCAATGTTGAAAGTCGATCCACCAACGGGATACAAATCCTGCAATTCCTCTTAATCATCTATTTTATTTGGTTAATACATAGAACAACCGACTGACGCGCAACGTGTCGCGGGTTGGATTCCCGCACGGAACAACTCTTTATGTGATCCACAGATTGTTGTTCCGGGTCTGGGTGTCATGTGTATGTGAACTTGTCCCCCCCCCCAACTTAGGCCGTCTGGACATTTTCAGCTTGCGTTCATTTAAAACTTGATAAAGTGGCAAGAATGCCACCCTAATTGTAACCTTAGTTCATACTACATATTATGTACAACCCGTTACTATCCTAATACGTTACTCACTCTTCGCACACTGAGCGTAAGTAGTGATTGCACCGTCAAAGTCAAAATCATTTATTTCAATTACGCCAGAAAGGCATTTTTGAACGTCAACAAAAAAAATTAAAAGTGAAGCTATTTGCTCATTCCAAGGTGTAGATTCCTATGGAGAAGAACGAGCAAGGAACTCCATAGGTTACTCTTTTTCAATCAGGTTCACAATACAATTCTCTAGTTACATAGTTTTGCTGTTTGGATTGTGCGAGAACAATGTAACACTAAAATCCAGTCAAAGTGATCAAAAATGAAAATAACCGTAAGGAATACAGTCTGGAGCTGACCAGTCCCAGTTGTAGGCGCCCGTTCATGAACATGACACGTACACCAGCACCGCCCAACTCAACCATATTGTAGGGAATCGAGCGATCCACTGCACGCGCCACCGCCAATGAGACATTTGAGTGAGCATGACACAAATGAATTCTACTAGTCTAATTTAATATTAAGTTAATTACAGGGCTCTCATATTTACAATGGTTTTCAAGTTATAAAAGATATGGAAAGAAAGAAAGAACATTTAGCACCAGGCTCGATGCAGCATAAATAAAATATAAAAAAGACAATAAAGGTGTGACAGTGGATTAGACAATCTAAGTTAAACAACGTTTACGACTTAAATTAACTGCAGACTGTTTTATAAATTCCAATTGTAATAATTCCATTGGCTTAATTAGAGAATTTGCAACGCATATAGGCAAGTAAACTAAATAAAACATTAAAGATCGTAATGGCAGGCCAAAAACCGAGCGCCACTATACAGGCTGATTACTTTTTACTATTTTCTCAAAGTTAAATATTTATCTTTAGTTTAGTTTAGTTTAGTTGCTTAATTACGGTTTGGAAATATATGGTATAAATTGCTCCCTGGAATTTGCTACCTATTAAATACATGTTCGTTGGCAAGTTTAAAAGCAGTTAGCTGCTTTTAAAATACAAATAAATAAATAAATAAATCTTTATTCATTATAAGAAATTGGTCATGGTACAGATAAACATCTTAATTTAAAATCAGAGATCTCACTAGGTTTGAATGCCTGTACTAGGAAGAATATCCTGTATCACATGGTTGGTCGGTTAGTAAGATACCTGCCAAAATAAATCATATTAATAATATTTGTCAGTTTTAATTTAAAACATCCTATACCCGGCCGACGTTTGGGAAAAACGCGACCGACCATGGGCCGACTTTAAAGTTTTTTCGTTCTCCATGCATCTAAGCCTTACTTTTTAATACTTTTTCGTGGTAGGTAGTAGAAATGTCAACCTATAAACATGAAATACATTTATCAAACTATCAAAAACCGCACCAGAGGCAATCCTAATGTTGCAAGTTCATGGTGCCAGAGCGATCTAAACACAGAAGCACCGTGAAGAGTCGGCCGACATTTAGCGTATTTACCCTATAGGTATCAGCACTTATTATTTTTTTAGTGACTAGTGAGTTGACTAGTGACTTAAACAGCTGCGTGCCTTCATGTGACAGTGAAAAGGTAAATTCAGTAAATTGCGTTAGAAATGATGTATTTTGTATCAACGCATTAAAATATCGGATATGATTGTTTTAAAATAATTGGAAATCAAATTTATAATTATAATTAATTGTAATTAAGTTTTTATTATAATTAATGATGTTTATTTATTTATTTTTATTTATTTATTTAACAACATCCGAGGGGCCACTCATGACTATTTGATTTAATTTTGTAAGGTAGTTTAAAAGTTGTAATGAAAAAGAAAGGCCCAAGTTTTGTTGACACAAATAGACAACGCAAATATGTAGATTCGTGTATTTTCGCGTATTCGATTCCCTCAGACGTATGCTCAACCATAGATCCTCTGCCGTAGAATAGAACGTAGGTTGGCACACAACCGAAAGCTCTCTGCGTGTGGCGATAAGTACACCCCCTCCACGGGACTGCCCGGTAGTAACATAGTCCCGATCCCGGCGCCACACAATGTATCGTTCGTCAAAGAATTCAGAATTTAAGATTCCATCCAATAACCACGTCTCTGTAAGAACAATAACATCATAGGAGTTGAGTGACATTTGACGATAGAATGTATCACTTTTCGTTCTAAGGCCGCGAACGTTTTGATAATAAATATTTAATTTAGGAGCCATTGAATTTATTATCATTAATAGCATATAAATTCGCATAATCTATTAAAATAGATTGTTCCATTAAAAAATATTGCAATTTAAGGTATAATATAAATACATAATATGTGTTATGAAGGTAGTTCTTAATAAAGTTAGTAAAATTTGTGTGAGGGCAATAGTTGGTCGATGTTATAAAATAATTAATATTTGTGCAAAAAGGCAAGCAACAGCGCGCGGTGCATGCAAGTGCGAAAGAATAAAACAGATAGTGGTGCCGTGCAGCTTTAAAGTAAACAGCGCGATACCGATCACAGGTAGTTGAACATAAATCATTACGAGGATTCGAGTGTATAGGTACCAGTGCGGCAGAGGTTTTAAACAGTTTGTAACTTTTTAGTATGGTGAATACGTTATTAGTAAATTGAGAAAATTGAAGCGACGTATAATAACAAAATAGAAAGGTTAAATTTAAGAAGCATATTAGATAAGTTTGTTTAAATCCGAGTCCTTCCTTATAATAATTACTTTAGAGTATTTATTTTTAAGTACGTGTATTTTACTATGCTTCACCCATACATACTCATACTGTTTGTCCTTGGCAGTTGATTTAACCTTACTTAGGAGTTTCTTGTATTCAATGCTAAGGTGATCATTGACATACACACGCTGAGATGAACCTTGAAAGCCAATATCCGAAGTGGATAGATCCTTATTGGCACGCGCCGCCGCAACAAAATCCTCTTTCACGTATCGATTTAAAAAGCTTATAATAATTAACTTTTCGTTTGAATTAAATATCGGAACTCTTGAGATGTAATTCACCTGGGATTTTGGACAGTTGTAGTTAATCCTTTCTCCTATTGCTTCGAAGATAGAAAATAGATTTTCATCCTTCTTTACTGGAACCCCCTTAATCTCAACGTTGTTCAATCTGGAACGTTGTTCGTTGCTTGACTGTAGAAACTTGGTGCTCGACAAATCCGTTTGCAAACGGTTTACTGTTTCATGGAGATTATCGAATTTTGAAACCTTTTCTTCCACTTCCGTGAGTCTTGTTTCAAATTCATCCAGTCTCCCACCAGTGCGTTCACAGGATATTTTGAGTCCCGCCAACTCATCCCTTATGGCTCGGATGTCGTCTACCAGTGCTGGTAAGTTAAGCAACTGGCGTTTCATATCACGTATCTCACCGAGTATGGTATCCAGAGATGTAGGTTCAGGGGTGGATACAGCTGGCGATGAGCTTCTGCACATGGGACATTTCCATTGGGCCATTCTAGCAGAACCCAATTTCCTCCACCCAGATTCAGAAATGTTTGCACACCCAAAGTCCAGGTGTTTCTTGCAACTACCGCATTGAACGCCATCATGAAACTGCACATTGCAGGCTGCACAGGTTTTCATTTTCGAATTAATTTACTAGTCGTTAAACAAAAACGTAAAAAGGTTGGTGATCTATTTATTTAGAGTGGCGTGTACTGTGCTTATGAATGACCACAGACGAATG